GTCTTAAGGACTCTGCAATGTAGTCCTAAAGACTCCTCAGTATTGTCTTAAGGACTCTGCAATGTAGTCCTAAAGACTCCTCAGTATAGTCTTAAGGACTCTGCAATGTAGTCCTAAAGACTCATCAGTATAGTCTTAAGGACTCTGCAATGTAGTCCTAAAGACTCATCAAGACTGGTGAACCTATGGCATGGCATACATTGTAGGTCAATTATCTTTTAAAACACCAAACTCTGTATAACCAGAAGGCCCAAGCTGATGATATTAGGCCAGTAGCATACTTGGATGAAGGGCTACCAAGTTTGTTTAAATGAATGACCTTGTATTATATTCAAAGTCACAGGGGTCAAATATGTTAAAATATTTTAATATTTAAAGGACTTCTCCTGAATAACCATCAGGTCTAGAATATTTAAATCTGGTCAGTAGCATGCTGGGATTAAGGGCTACCAAGTTTGTTCAAATGAATGACCTTGACTTATATTCAAGGTCACAGGGGTCAAATTTGTTTAAAACCATGAGGCCCAGAATGTTGATATTTGGATGAAGGGCTATCAAATCATTTGAATGACCTTGACCCACTTTCAAGGTCACATTTGGTCAGATGATTATAAACCTTTGAATGACCTAATCTCATTAAACAAAAGGTCAAGGGTGGTGATATTTGGCAATTTGCATGCTTATGAAGGCTATAAAGTTTGTTCAACATAATGACATTGTTCGACTTTCATGGTCACATAGTACAAATGTTTTTAAATCTTTTAACAGGTTGGTTTGAATGACTTATAGTCATAAATACTGATGTTTTGCCTGTAGCTTTACTTTAGATCACTTTTAAGGTTACAAGTGTGTGTGAGATAAATACCAGGTGAGCGATGCAGGCCCATTGAGCATCTTATTTTAGTTCACTTTTAAGGTAACAATGGTGAGATTAATACCAGGTGAACATTGCAGGTTATAAATAAATAGTTTTCCTCCCATAGGGACTGACATTGTGATTACGAAAGTTATATATTCTATGGACCTCTTGTGAAGTGTAACAGATCCCCGTACTACTGTGAGTTATGAAGTGTAACAGATCCCCGTACTACTGTGAGGTATGAAGTGTAACAGATCCCCGTACGACTGTGTGTTATAAAGTGTAACAGATCCCCGTACTACTGTGAGTTATGAAGTGTAACAGATCCCCATACTACTGTGAGGTGAGGTATGAAGTGTAACAGATCCCCATACTACTGTGAGTTATGAAGGGTAACAGATCCCTGACTACTGTGAGCTATGAGGTGTAAAAGATCCCCGTACTACTGTGAGTTATAGAGTGTAACAGATCCCCGTACTACTGTGAGTTATAAAGTGTAACAGATCCCCGTACTACTGTGAGTTATGAAGTGTAACAGATCCCTGACTACTGTGAGCTATGAGGTGTAACAGATCCCCGTACTACTGTGAGTTATAGAGTGTAACAGATCCCCATACTACTGTGAGTTATGAAGTGTAACAGATCCCCGTACTACTGTGAGGTATGAAGTGTAACAGATCCCCATACTACTG